ACAATACTAGGTACTTTTAACTTTATTGAATATTGTGTGACCATTAGTATTTTGCAGTCTTTTGTGTGATTGGTCAAATTATTTTTATTAGATATATTAAATAATATTTTTTAGTTGAAAAGTAATTTCTTAATATCCGTGTTTTTTGCTAAAACAACTTATATTTTGAAACAGAGAGAGTATATAATAGTTGAGTTTCACTCACAAGTTTGTGACACCGGAGCACCTCTATCCATGACATATCATCTATTTTTTGAAAAAAACTCATATTAACTATTTACAAAGAAGAAGAAAAACTGTTAATGCATATTCTTTTGGTCAATCGTTAAAGAGTTTCATTCGTTCAACCTTCACCTTTATTACACATTTATTACTAAAATTAATCAAGTCAAAACAGATTTCCCTTCGTTCTCATTATCACACTAGATTTTTTTGTACGACTTCGGATGAGAATTTTTTTTTTTTGTGTGTCTCTCTCACGTCAACCATACCTTTTCTTATTGCTCATTCGAGTAAGTAACCCATTCCATTTTTCTCTGGTAACAAATCTTATGATTGGTTTGTTGCTAAATGTCTTTCAATTTGTATCTTCTTTTTGTTTTAGAGTACATATTTACCGATTCTTATTCTTCCCTATATCGATTAATTAACTTTTTCATTTTGTATGATATTTCCATTTTTATTGAATTAGCTGCATCTGATCTTCTTGATGTGTTAGTGTCAATGTCCTTCCTTAATATTAACCACGTTTGTGTCTCTAAGGCCTTTTCATTATCTTGATTTGGAACAAGTCGGTTTTCTTATAAATTGAATACTCTAACATTTAAATGAGTTCCATTTGTTTAACCCTGGCTCTCTGTATCTTTTTACTTTTGCAATAATTCTTGAATCAGGACAATTTTCTAAATTTCACTGTGTTTGATTATAGGGAAAGAGGTTTTAAGATTGTTATTATTGTAACTTACTAACCATGATTGGTGCTGAAAAGATTTCTTTCTTTCAAATCTAAGCTATTGCGAATCTAGGTAAGCCTTATCGTGATTAATTATTAAGAAGAAGGTGAAACACTCCAACGCTGTCACCCTTATATATATGGTTCCAACTTAAGACACCAAAATTATAAATTCTGTAGAGAAACAGAACCAGCAATATGGTAGGTTAAGTGCAAAAGAAAAGAGAGTCGAATAATGGTGTTAAGGCATAAGTAATTGATTGGACATGAAAATGAGTTGCTCATGCGTTACTACATTTCATAAGGTATTTGTAAAAAAAAAGTGTAAGTGATCTTTTAATTTATCCAACTTTTTTTGTTTCTCTGGTTAAGATACATTGATTTGTATACTACTTAGGTGAATAGATGAGATACCTTCAAAAAAATATTAACACAAAAAATTGCAAGAAATAACATACTCTATCATAAGTTTATCAAGAAATGACACTTAAAAATTAAACATGTATCAAATTATTTATAAGTACAATTTAACAAAATATTATGAGATAAAACCCCGCGCGGGTAATCACCTAGTCATTTTATAATAGTGGAGTTTTCTCTCCCATTAATTTTATTTACTAGATATGCTCTCTATTTTGGTTTAACACAACAAAAAGCAATATTTTTGTTTTGTTTTATTGTTTACAAAATTTATCTAATCAATTA